AAAAAACCCCTAAGGGACCAGAGAGGTTGAGCGACTTCCCTAAGGTCACACAGCACAGCCGGGAGAACCAGGAACGGAAAAAAACATAAAAAACCTAAGGGGCCAGAGAGGGCGAGTGATTTCTCTGAGGTCACACAGCACAGCCGGGAGAACTGGGAATGGGGAAAAAAAAAGAAAAAACTAACGGATCAGAGAGGTTGAACAACTTCCCTGAGGTCACACAGCACAAGGGAGAACTGGAAATGGAAAAACCAAAAAAAAACCCCTAAAGGACCAGAGAGGTTGAGCGACTTCTCTAAGGCCACACAGCACAGCCAGGAGAACTGGGAACGGGGGAAAAAAACAAAAACAAAAAAAGCCTAAGGGACCAGAGAGGTCGAGTGAGTTCTCTAAGGTCACACAGCACAGCCGGGAGAACTGGGAACGGAAAAAAAAAAGAAAAAACTAACGGATCAGAGAGGTTGAGCAACTTCCCTGAGGTCACACAGCGCAGCCGGAAGAACTGGGAAGGGGGGGGGGTAGAAACAAACAAAAACAAAAAAACCCTAAGGGACCAGCGAGGGCAAGCGATTTCTCTGAGGTCACACAGCACAGCCGGGAGAACCGGGAATGGAAATGACAACAACAACAAAAAAAACAATCCTGAGGGACCAGAGAGGGCCAGCGACTTCCCTAAGGCCACACAGCACAGCCGGGAGAACCGGGAACCAAAAAAAAAAAAAAAAAAATCTAAGGGACCAGAGAGGGTGAGCGAGTTCCCTGAGGTCACACAGCACGAGGGAGAACCGGGAACAGAAAAAAAAAGAAAAACCTCAGGGATCAGAGAGGTTGAGCGATTTCCCTGAGGTCACACAGCGCAGCCAGGAGAACTAGGAACGGGGGAAAAAAAAAAATCTAAGGGACCAGAGAGGTTAAGCGATTTTTCTAAGGTCACACAGCGCAGCCGGGGAGAACCAGGAAAGGAGAAAAAAAAACACAACAAAATCTAAGGGACCAGAGAGGTTGAGCGACTTCTCTAAGGTCACACAGCGCAGCCGGGGAGAACCAGGAAAGGAGAAAAAAAAAAAAACAACAAAATCTAAGGGATCAGAGAGGTTGAGCGATTTCCCTGAGGTCACACAGCACAGCCAGGAGAACTAGGAACGGGGGAAAAAAAAAAATCTAAGGGACCAGAGAGGTTGAGCGACTTCTCTAAGGTCACACAGCGCAGCCGGGAGAACCGGGAACAGAAAAAACAAAAAAAACCTAAGGGACCAGAGAGGGCGAGCAACTTCCCTAAGGTCACACAGCACAAGGGAGAACTGGGAACGGGAAAAAAAAAATAAACCTAAGGGATCAGAGAGGTTGAGCGACTTCTCTAAGGTCACACAGCGCAACTGGGACAACCGGGAACGGGGGGAAAAAAAAAATCTAGCAGATCAGAGAGGGTGAGCGAGTTCCCTGAGGTCACACAGCGCAGCCGGGAGAATCGGGAACGGAAAAAGAAACAAAAAAAAACCCCTACAGGACCAGAGAGGGCGAGCGATTTCTGTAAGGTCACACAGCGCAGCCGGGAGAACCAGGAAAGGAGAAAAAACAAAAAACAAAAAAAATCTGAGGGACCAGAGAGGTTGAGCAACTTCCCTAAGGTCACACAGCGCAGCCGGGAGAACCGGGAACGAGAAAAAAAAAAAAAAAAAAAAAGGAATCTAAGGGACCAGAGAGGTCGAGCGATTTCTCTAAGGTCACACAGCACAGCCGGGAGAACCGGGAACGGAAATGACAACAACAAAAAAAACAACCCTGAGGGACCAGAGAGGTTGAGCGAATTCCCTGAGGTCACACAGCACAGCCAGGAGAACCGGGAACAGAAAAAACAAAAAAAAACCTA